AGCTATGAAGAGAGATTGAGTAGATTAGTATTATTTACATTAGAAAGACAGAGGTTGAGAGGGGACCTGATTGAGGTCTACAAAATCATGAGAGGTATAGATAGGGTGGATAGCAAGAAGCTTTTTCCCCCCCCAGAGTGGGGGACTCAATTACTAAGGGTCACGATTTCAAGGCGAGAGGGGAAAAGTTTAAGGGAGATATGCGTGGAGGGTTCTTTACGCAAAGGGTGGTGGGTGCCTGGAACTTGTTGCCAGCGGAGGCGGTAGAGGCGGGCACGATGGCATCATTTAAGATGCATCTAGACAGATACATGAATGGGCAGGGAGCAGAGGGATACAGATCCTTGGAAAATAGACGACAGGTTTAGATAGAGGATCTGGGTTGGCGCAAGCTTGGAGGGCCAAAGGGCCTGTTCCTGTGCTGTAATTTTCTTTGTTCTTTGATTGAGTTTTTTGAACAGGTGACAAAGACGTTTGAAGAAGGCAGAGTGGTGGACTTTGTCTATAATGGACTTTAGCCAAGCTTTTGGCAAGGTTCCGCATGGTAGACTGGTTACTAAGCTTAGATCAGGTGGGATCCTATGAGGAGCTAGCCAGTTGGATACAAAGTGGGCTTGAAGGTAGCAGACAGAGGGTGGTGGTGGAGGGTTATTTTTTGAACTGGAGGCCTGTGACCAGTGGTGTGCCACTAGGATCAGTGCTGGGTCCATTGCTTTCTGTCATTTACAGAAGTGATTTGGATGTGAATATAGGAGGAATGGTTAGTAAGTTGGCAAATGACACCAAAATAGGTGGTATAGTGGACGGCGAAGAAGATTATCTCAGTACAACGGATCAGATGGGCCAATGGGCCGAACTTGTACAGTTAATGGTTGGGCCTGGAGGAGGTCATATACCTACCAAATTCAGGTCTGACGGATGGTTAAAGAAAGATGTAAAGAAGGAAAAAAAAAACTGCCAAACAACAAGAAATAAAGTGAAGTTCCTGACAAAATTATATGACCTACATAGACATTATGGTATGCAAAATCTAGAACCAGATTATATATTTTTTTTATTTCCAGAATTACAAACCTCAGCTTCTTTGATTGCCTTGGGAGGAACAAATATTCTTGGAAATGCATACAGAGCTCCTTGCAGAGGGTTGCAGTGCATTCCAGGAATTGTATTCAAGACATCCTCTGTTAACTTAGCTTTCTCAGCAAGGTTATGCAATACCTTCATTTTTTCCTGCATATTAAACAGACACATCTCATTAAAAATTACAATGTACAACATTTATATTTCAGTAAAGACAACATAATATCTGGTGTCTGTACATCATACACACAAATGCAGAACATATAAACAGTCCTAAATCCAATCTCTAAGTCAAGGTGTTGGCCAATACTTATAGTAATTATTGAAAGATTAGATTCTGAAGTACACAAAAGAGATAATGCATTAGTGTCTAAAGCTGTCTGCAATTCCCATTGAATATCATTTTATATCTGGTATGTGACAGAGAAGTTTCAGATTATTAACTTCAAGGGGTTTTCTTTCTTATTGCAGCTGGGAATCAGTTTATCACATGTTGCCTACATTGAAACGCTTACTGTTGGCTGAATCAGCTTCATTGTTGGACTGGAGAGTTCAGGGGCTGAACAACCAGTATTTTCCAGGGCATTTTAGGGGATAAGAGGGAAGATGGTTAGAAACACTCATTAGGTAGTATTTTGGAGTTTAGGGTGTGGAGGCAGACTGCGTATTTCAAAACATTTTATTCAATGGAAACACAAGCAAGACTATACTTAGTCTTGCAGGTCCTCAAGGGTATTCTCGAAGGCAATTTTGTCTACAAGAACCTCACAACCTGTTAGATGACCAAGCAGCACAGATAAATAATATCTTATTCCAGAAAAATGACCAATGTTAGTGCAATTGTTGGCAAATCTTAGTTAAGACACACATCATCTAACATTGATTCAGCAACATAAAGAGGAGTAAAATGCACAACATTAACAGCGAATCATTCATGATGGAGAAACAGCACAATCAATTCAATTGAAACCATAAAACTGACTAACCAATGTAAACAGCTCATAAGATTCTTCTCCAGGCTTTGGTGGATTTACCACAACATCCATGGCAACTTGCCCTGGGACAGGGGAGCACAGCCGAACTGATAATAGCTTCTCAAGCTGAGCCTTAACCTCAGGGTCCATGTTAATAACTTCCATATAACCACCCCTAAATCCACATCTAAAATAAAGTTGTTAAATATTCAGTTTATTGGAAGATTGCACAGCCAAAACTAACAATCATATAGAAACAGCACAAATAACAGAGTAGGAACTATATTGTTGCAAACTGACTGAATCACACATGAAATACAGGTTCTCACATCTTCAGGATAATCTGCGACAATATTCTCGAAGAAGTTGAACAGGCAACTGTTGAACTTGAAGAAAAAGGTAATTTCGACATGAAGTTGTGCTCATGCATTTTACAGTACAGTTCACTTGATAACAGCCACATGGAAGGCAGGTGAAGACATGATCAGGCTCTGTTGTGCTGTTATGCTCTCCACAGCCAAATAACCTGCAGAGCTTAACTAGTCCCACTGGACCAACACAAAACAAGTCAACAGGTTCATGAGAGGAATATTATTTACTCCAAAGATGTTAGTTTAGGTTTCTCAAACAGAAAATAAGAAATCCAAGGTGACACTAAAAGTTGGTTGCCGAGTCAGCGTATGGAGTACAAATTTCTTAACAAACAGATACTATGAGCACAAAGGTACAGAACAATTGTTGCAATGACGGACTTCAAATTAAGCGAAGTTACTTTGGTTTTCAGAGTTGGTTAACATAATGCACAATTGCTTCACGACCAATCACTTCAGTATTTCAGAGTTTAAATGTTTCAAAAGAAATAGGGAGGGAGGAATAAAAGAGGTGGGGGAAGTGGCATTGCTAATTCGGGACAGTGTCACAGCTGCAGAAAGGGAGATCGTCGAAGAGGGTTTGTCTACTGAGTCAGTATGGGTAGAAGTCAGATACAGGAAAGGAACAGTCACTTTATTGGGAGTTTTCTATAGACCCCTCAATAGCAAGAGAGACACTGAGGAACAGATTGGGAGGTAGATTTTGGAAAGGTGCAGAAGGAATAGGGTCATTGTCATGGGTAACTTCAACTTCCCTAATATTGACTGGAACCTCCTGAGTGCAAATAGTTTGGGTGGAGCTGATTTTGTCAGGTGTGTCCAGGAAGGATTCCGGACTCAATATGTAGATAGGCCGACTAGAGGGGAGGCCATATTGGATTTGGTGCTTGGCAACGAACCAGGCCAGGTGTCAGATCTCTTGGTGGGAGAGCATTTCAGTAATAGTGATCACAACTCCTTGACCTATACTATAGTCATGGAAAGGGATAGGAGCAGATGGTATGGGAAAGTATTTAACTGGGGGAGGGGGAATTACAATGCTATTAGGCAGGAACTGTGGAGCATAAATTGGGAACAGATGTTCTCAGGGAAATGCACAACAGAAATGTGGAGGTTGTGTAGGGAGCGCTTGCTGTGAGTGCTGTATAGGTTTGTCCCACTGAAGCAAGGAAGGGATGGGTAAGGTGAAGGAACCTTGGACGACAAGACATGTGAAACATCTAGTCAGGAGGAAGAAGGAAGCAAGGATCGGACAGGGCTCTAGAGGGTTACAAAGGTAGCTAGGAAGGAACTGAAGAATGGACTTGAGAGCGAGAAAGGGGCATGAAAAAGCCTTGGAGGGTAGGATGAAGGAAAACCCCAAGGCGTTCTATACTTATGTGAGGAACAAGAGGATAGCCAGAGTGAGGGTAGGGCCGATCAGGGATAGTGGCGGGAACTTGTGCGCGGAGTCTGAGATCCTTAAATGAATATTTTGCTTCAGTATTCACTAGTGAGCGGAACCTTATCATTTGTGAGGACAGCGTGAAACAGGCTGATATGCTTGAACAGGTTGATATTAGGAAGGAGGATGTGACAGAAATTTTGAAAAACATGAGGATAGATAAGTCCCCTGGGCTGGACGGGATATACAGAATGTCACTATGGGAAGCGAGGGAAGAGATTGCTGCGCCTTTGGTGATGATCTCTACATCCTCATTATCCACTGGAGTAGAACCAGATGATTGGAGGGTGGCAAATTGTTATTTCCTTGTTCAAGAAAGGGAATAGGGATAACCTTGGGAATTACAGACCAGTCAGTCTTACTTCTGTGGTGGGCAAATTATTAGAGAGGATTCTGAGAGACAGTATTTATGATTATTTGGAAAAGCATAGTTTTGATTAGAGATAGTCAGCATAGCTTTGTGAGGGGCAAGTCATGCCTCAAGTCTTACTGAATTCTTGGAGGATGTGACAAAACACACTGATGAAGGTAGAGCAGTGGGTGTGGTGAATATGGATTTTAGCAAGGTATTTGATAAGGTTCCACATGGTAGGCTCATTCAGAAAGTAAAGGGGCATGGGATTCGTGGAAATTCGGCTGTCTGGATACAAAACTGACTGCCCAATAGAAGACAGAGGGTGGTAGTAGATGGAAAATATTCAGCCTGGAGCTCGGTGACCAGTGGTGTTCCACAGGGATCCGTTCTGGGAACCTCTGCTCTTTGTGATCTTTATAAATGACTTGGATGAGGAAGTGGAAGGATGGGTTAGTAAGTGTGCCAAATGACACCAAGGTTGGTGGAGTTGTGGACAGTGTGGAGGGCTGTTGTAGGTTGCAATGGGACATTGACAGGATGCAGAGCGGGGCAAAGAAGTGGCAGATGGAATTCAACCCAGAAAAGTGTGAAGTGATTCATTTTGGAAGGTCGAATCTGAATGCAGAATACAGGGTTAATGGCAGGATTCTTGACAGTGTGGAGGAACAAAGGGATCTTGGGGTCCACGTCCATAGATCCCTCAAAGTTACAACCCTATCAACTTGGGTGGCAAAGAAGCCACATGGTGTGTTGGCTTTCATTGGCAGGGGAATTGAGTTTAAGTGCCGCGAGGTTACGCTGCAGCTCTATAAAACTCTGGTTAGCCCACACTTGGAATATTGTATTCAGTTCTGGTCACCTCATTATAGGAAGGATGTGGAAGCTTTACTAGGATGCTGCTTGGACTGGAGGGCAGGTCTTATGAGGAATGGTTGAGGGAGCTACGGCTTTTCTCATTGGAGTAAAGAAGAATGAGAGGCAATTTGATAGAGGTGTACAAGATGATGAGAGGCATAGATAGAGTGGATAGCCAGAGACATTTTCCAGGGCGGAAATGGCGATCACAAGAGGGCATAAAATTAAGGTGATTGGAGGAAGGTATAGGGGAGATGTCAGAGGTAGGTTCTTCACACAGAGTGGTGGATGCGTGGTATGCACTGCCAGCAGTGGTAGTAAAGTCAGATACGTTATGGACATTTAAGTGATTCTTGGATAGGCATATGGATGACAGTAAAATGAAGGGTATGCAGGTTAGTTTGATCTTAGAGTCAGATAATAGGTCAGTGCAACATCGAGGGCTGAAGGGTTTGTACTGTGCTATAATGTTCTATGTTCCGTGTTCTATTAGGAGTGTATTTTTTTTTCCAATGTTGCTTTTGTTAACAATTCATTTGACTCCATGTCAGAAGTTGTAGTGTTCCTGAGCATAGCAACTGCAAATTATTTTGTGTTCAACTGTATCAAAATATCAACAGCCATATGAAGGACCATAAGTGAGCTACATTCAATGCAATGAAAGAACAGCTAAGGCAAATGGTTTGGGCTCATTCCATAATTCAGTAACAGTCAAATGGACAGTCTTTAAAAATACTAAGAATGGAAAGTATTTATATAACACTCCAATCAGTAATAACATATTTGCAAAGGCAAAACAAAACCATTCAGTTACAGTAATGTTAGAACATTCAAAAGGAGGTGGGAATGATAAGAGAGAGCCAAATGAGCTAAAAACTGAGCAAGGTTATAACGGTAAATGGCTGAAGTATTTTTCGCTTCATATTCAAAATGAAATGAGCAACAAATTCTAGCTAATCTGGGATAACTAATTGCAAAAGATCAAGGCTGACCTGTAGAGTTTAAATAGCTGAAAACAAATACAATGCAAGTGATAAATTTTAGTTAATCCCAAGTACCTGTGAATACAGAGACATGAAAGGTTCAAGATTCCGTAAAAATAGGCACTTAAGTCATGCTTTGCCATAAGTGTTGTTAAGGTCAAAGATCCCAAATAAAATTTAATGATGGATAAAAAATTAGCTAAAAACAAAAAATGGAGTTGTGAACAAGAGAAACTCTTTACAACAGTCATGTCAATGAGGGAGAATACCATGTCAGGTGCTCCAAGGCCCTTAATGCTGGGAGCAGAACAGAACGTTTAGATCGAACTATTGATTTGATTTAATTTGCATAAAGATTTCAAACTAAAAGAGGGCAGTGTAATGCAAAACATGCTCCGAAATGAGGAAGGAACTATTATATTATATACATGAGCAGAAAAATGGGAGAAGGTTAATATGGTCGGATGTAAATTATTGCATGCCAGAAAGGAAGAAAGTGCAAAAGCATTAAAATTCAGTGTTGAAATAATAATGGAAAAAAGGTGAAAAAGAGACCAAACAGCATTTGTGGAACTGATGCTTAGCATGTACAACCAACAAACCGAAGCAATTGACAACAAAGTTGATAAATGCTAATGTAGTTGAATTTCAAATTCAATTGAGGCAGAGCCGCTCAGGTGTCAAATCGGTGCCTTTAAATTAAAGAGAGAGAATTATAGAGGTATGAAGAGACAATTATCCAAAATCAGCTGGGAGAATAATGGATGAGCATCGGCAGAAGCAGATATCTATTTCATAATGCACAGCAAAAAAAAAAAAAAAAAAAAAAAAAAAAAAAATTCCAATCAAGAAGGACTCAATGAGAAAGATGAAACATCCACATTAACAAAGGTCACCAAGGAGAATATCCAAATCAAAGCCATGACAGGCAAAGCAAAGAAAACTAGTGCTTGGTGAGGATTGGGACTTCTGCTTTAAGGAAATAGCTGTGGATGACTCAACAGCTAATAAGGAGCGAGAAATTTGATGATGAAACGAAATTGACAAGAAATATGAAATCAAACAGCAAGAACTTCTACGGGTGTATAAAAGAAAAGGAGTAGCTAAAAAGTGAGTGAGAAAATGTGATGGGAGAATTGAAAAGGGGGAAAATGGAATCAATAAATTTAACTTATCTGGTTTAAGTTATTTGCATCAGTCTTCACAGTAGAGGACACTACAAACACCAAACATAACAGATAAGTAAGGTGCTAATGGGAGGAAAGATCTTGCAATGGTCTCTGTCATGAGAGTTAAATTATTTGAAAAATTAATGGGACCTGATGGCCTACATCCAAGGAGTTAAAGAAAGTGCCTAGAGATAGTGGAGGCATTGATCAAAATATTCCAGAACTTGCTGAATTCCAGGAGTGTTCCAACAGATTGGGAAACTGCTAATGTGACACTGCTGTTCAAGGACGACAGCAGGAAGACAGAAAGCAGACATCAATAGGAAGAATCAAAATATAGACTTCTATTTTTAAAAGTGCAGCATAGAAGCAGCTGGGGGTTCTTGTGCATGAAAGACAAAATGTTAGCAATCAGGTGCAGCAAGTAATTAAGGTAGCAAAAATAATCTTGAACTTTGTTGCTGCTGGAGTTTAAAAGCAGGGAAGACTTGTTACAACATTACAGTGCATTAATAAGGAGCCAGAGTACTGTGTACAGTTTGGTTACCACAATTAAATAAGGACATCGAGGCCCAGGAGGCAAATCAAGAGATTCACTAAGCCGATTCCTGGGATGAAGGGATTGACTTACAAGTATGGCTCAACAAGATAGACCTTTAACCATTAATGGGTTCACTGACGCCCAGTTTGGGTTTGCTAGGGTCACTCAGCTCCTGACTTCATTACAGTCTTGGTTCAAACATGGACAAAAGAGCTGAAATCCAGAAGTGAAGTGAGTGTGACAGCCCTTGACATCAAGGCTGCATTTGACTGAGTGGCAAAGAACCCTAGCAAAACTAGAATCATTGGGAATCAAAGGACAAACTCTCCGCTGGTTGGAGTCATACCTGGCACATAGGAAGATGTTGGCAATTGCTGGAGGTCAGTCATTTCAGCTCTAGGACATCTCTGTGGAGTTCCTCAGGGTAGTGTTGTTGTCCCAACCATTTTCAGTTCCTTCATCCAAGACCCTCCCTCCATCATAAGGTCAGAAGTGAGGATGTTAGCCAATGACTACACAATGTTCAGCACCATTCGTGATTCCTCAGATACGGAAACAATCCATGTTCAAATGCAACAAGATCTGGACAATATTCAGGCATGGGCTAACAAGTGGCAAGTAACATTCACATGACAAAAGTCCAGACAATGACCATTTTCAATGAGAGACAATCTAACTACAGCTACATGGCATTCAATGGTGTTACCATCAGAGTTCCCCATTATCAACATCATGGCGGTTATCAATGATCAGAAACTCAACCAGACTCACAGCATAAACACAGTGGCTACAAGATCAAGTCAGAAGCTAGGAATACTGCAGTAGTAACTCACCTCCTGACTCCCCAACATCTGTTCACCAACTACAAGGCACAAGTCAGGAGTGTGATAGAATTCTCCCCATTTGCCTGGATGGGTACAGCTCCAACTACACTCAAGCAGCTTGACATGATCCAGTACAAAGTAGCCTGCTTGACTGACACTGCACCCACCCTCTCCTCCACTGACAGTCAATAGCAGCAGTACATGTGATTTAGAAGATGCACTGCAGAAATTCACTAAAGATCCTTAGACAGCGCCTTCCAAACCCACAACCACTTCCATTCAGAAGGAGAAGGGCAGCAGATACATGGGAAGACCACCACCTGCAGTTCCCCTCCAAGCCTCTCAACATCTCATTTGGAAACATATCGCCATTCCTTCATTGTCGCTGGGTCAAAATCCTGGAATTCTTTCCGTAAAGGCATTGAAAGTCAAACTACAGCACATGTACTGCAGTGGTTCAAGGCAGCAGCTCACCACTGCTTTCTCAAGGGCAGCTAGGGATGGGCAATAAATGTTGGTCAGTCAGCGACACCTGAGTAAATTTTTTAAAAGACAGAAGAATTAGGGATAATCTTATTGAAACATACAAGATTTTGAGCAGGCTTGACAGGATAGATGTTGTTTCCACAAGTTGGGGAATCTCAAACTAGGGGGCAGAGGTGCAAAGGAACTTATTCTCCTAGAGGGTGGTGAATGTTTGGAATTATCTACCCAAGAAGCTAGATCACTGAAAGGATTTAAAGAGGAGACAGATTTTTGAAAAAGAGAAGGTGAAAGACATGACGAGCTAGCAAAAAAGAGAGAGAGGTCTGGATAGGTCAGCCACGATCTTAGCGAATGGCAGGACAGGATCGAGGGGATAGATGGCCATTCCTGATGACCTTCTAATAAACATCTGAATCCCACTCCGATTTCATTTGACTTAACATCTATAAGTCTTCTAGCTAGAAAGGGAATTCCAGATTTCCACTACGTTTTGTTAGTAAGTGTTCCCTGATTTCACACCTAAATAACATGGGTGTAATTTTAAGACTGTGCCTCCTTTACTGGATTCTTTGACCAGTTGAAATTTATCCCTGCAAATAATTAACTGAATAAATGCAGTATCAAGTAAAATTCCTGAAGCGAAGTTTACAAACTTGGATTTTTTTTTTTGTTTCAAGAAACTGCACGGAAATAAGATTACATTGAGCAGAACAGAACAGAACAGAAACACCTACTCTCCTGTGTATCCTTTGGATGTGGAATGAAATGAGACCAATTCTACTGTGCTGAAGTACTCCGGACCCATCTCATATAACACCTTCTTGAATGAGTGAAATTTGCAGTCCTCAGAATATATGTTTTCCTGGTATACCTAGGATAGAGAAAAGAAGCATCCAAGTCCACGTTATTTTCTGAGGCTGAACAATCCATGACTGGAAATATGGCACTCTCTTGAACTCTCAAAGTTTAATTATCAAACAACCTGAAAACAAAAGTAAGCAAACAAGGTTTGTCTTACCTCATCTGCCAGAATGAAGAGTTTTTCCTCATAAGCAAAACGAATAACATCCTCAATACCTTTTCTGCTTTGCACTTGGCCTGTATTTAAAACAAAATGCTACTTACGTTAAAAACTAATTTTAAGCAAATCACTTTCAGAATTGCTTTCCTTTCTCAGACAACTTGACCCATCACTTCTTATGAAAGTTTAAACACTAAGGCAGGGGTGATGCACTAGTATCTGATTATTTAAGAGAGGATCTTCTAAACACACCCAAAATGTTCTCAGTACACATGTGCAAAATACACATGCAGTACCCCTGCCAGTATGGCTAGCGACATCACTGCATCCCATTCACTCGTTTATTGTGCTTACTTGGCACCACTATGTTTGTAAATGGCAGCGCATTTCACAAAGTGTGATCGCACAGTATTTTACATAGGTGCAATGGGAGCCTTCAGGCTATCAGGTGACACAGCCATCATTTAATTCTTTACTTCCATCTAGAATATTACTGTAGTTCTCAAATTAATCAGTAGATGGAGTTTTGCATAAAGTCAAGGGCCCTGATATTTACAGGGAGAGAGGAAACCAGGGCAGCACAGTAGCAGGGGTCAGGGAGGGAACGTTAGTCCTACGAAATCTAACAGCAGAACCTCTTACCTTTTCTCATCCATATCTTCCTCTACCGATCTATTTTCTGCCTAGCGGATAACCAGATTAATAGGCTGGCTATTGGATAGGAAAGATTGTGACCGTCTCCGATAATGAGGAAAGAGGGAAAGACTGAACATTAATTGTGGGGAGGAGACAGGGGCATCAAACCACAGCACTGAAGATGACCACAATCAGCACAGTTGGAAGATTCTTTCTAGCGCACGAGGAGCACATAAATATGCACTGGCATTTTATGGCTGACTGCTCCAGTCTTCATTTACCTGCAAGGATGCCTAAACCTTGGGAAACTCAGCTGGTAACTTAAATTAAAATCATATTTCCAATTGTACCTTGGAAATCTGACTTAAACATAGTTTGTAAACCTCTGCCACAAAAAAAGGGAAGAACATAGGCAGTGGGTTGGAGATTGTGCTTTGTGATTTTACATTTTTGACCCAATCCCTTTTTCCCTTGTGGTGAAACCCCAAAGGTACTTCACTCGAGGAAAACATGTACGCACCAAGGGATCCTCACATTATGCCAGAATTCAGAATGAATTTACAATAATACCAATTTCATTTTGAGTGGGCTATGGCTGGTAGTAAAATAAAAGCAATTGGTAAATCTGTGTGTCTCAGTAAAAGATAGACAACTACAACCTCTGTAATGTACTTGTTAAAAACTGCATTACCATAGCATCTTTGACATCCTTGGTTCAATCCAATAACTTTCCAAGATAGTGAAGTACATTTGGTTATGTGGTCCCAATTATTTAGGTAAATGATGCACAGACAAATAATAATGAAATCTATGGCTAGATAAAATGGTTGGCTGAAGGAGGAACATCAACCAGGGCAACAGAAGAACTCAGTTTATTTTCTTTAAATAATTCCACAGGATTCTTTACATCCTTTTGAAGGGATAAACTGGGGCCTGGTTTAGTGTCACCCGAACAGGTCAATAGTGCAGCATTCCCTCAGTACTGCACTGAAGTGCCAGTGAAGATTATGTGCATAAATCAGACAAAAAGGCAGGAGGGCTGCAACTGAGTCACATAGCCACTATAAATAAAAAGTTGTGTTAAATGAAATAAAGTGTGCCTTATACCTGTAACGATATTAATTCCACTGCTAAAACATGTTTTTCTTTACAATTAAAGCAATTCAATGTGTCTAGAATCTGCCAAAGACTAGGCTTTCAAGAGTGATGCCTAATTTTTGAAATAGTTCAAGTACCAGTTGGGTTTCCTGGGTTAATAATACAAAGAACCTTGGGGTTGCAATATTCCCTTGCTGCATTCAGGTTTCGTTTCAGTTCATTTTTATCCAGAGCCCAGCCATTTTCTTCATCCAGGTAATAGTTGATTTGGGTGGCTCCTAGCTCGGAGATGGCTGCTGAGTATAGGGGATACTGTGGAATTGGAATCATTACTCCAGTCCGCATTCTCCCTTCCCCAGACACCAAAAGTTTCATAATGGTCTATAAAATAAAAATGGAGAGGCAGGTAATTCAGAATGATACACATTGAAACTATTCAAAAATTATTTATTGCTACAATTCAACAGAGGCAACAACACTCGTTTTTAACTAAATGAGCCATTGCTTTACGTACAGTTATTCCATCACTTGCTCCAGTAGTAATATAAATATTATCAGATTCTGCAGGAACTCCTCCATCTCTTGTCTCCATGTACTTAGCAACATCTTGACGTATACAATTCAGACCCTGGCTTGCACTGTAGGAACCTAAAAAAATAAATTTTTAAATGTGCCCACATGATAAATATTGAAGCTGAAGATTTAATTAAAAATACAAACTTTCCAGAAGTGCTGGACATTTGGTTGGGTGTATCGCTAAGAACCTCTCTGGTATGGTTACTAATACAGATGAGGGCATGAGGTGACATCTGATATTTTCAATTTCTATTGGCAGGTTGGGCTAGATTGGAAAGATGATGTTGTGCCAACTGGCTAATTCTCTATGCCTTTTCAAAGATCGACTAAATGCTGTTGATAGAACAAGCGCTGGGCTCTGAGACAACGATCACAACTGGTCAAAAGTTTTCCAATTGGATCTTTACTGTCCTCTCCTGACCATGATGAATAAAGTAGTCAACAATTCTTTCATTCTTCACAGCAAACTATCCTGTCTTCACAAGTTATTCCTCTGTGTGACAGTATCAAATACACACAAACATAACCAATCCCTTCCAAATTATCTGCAGGTCACTGGTCAATTATCTTTCCATCCAAGTTATTTCAACTTGCAAATATTCTATTTTGGTCTGGAATTAGCAATTACTCCAATAACAACTCATTGTTCCACACAAACCAATGTGTGCCCAATAGGTAATTCTGATAAAATCAGGAGGCAAACAGAACTGTTCTGGAAACACCCAGCTGGTCCCATCAAAATAATCCAATTTCATAGATTGTACTATGAACATACCATGATCTCATTGCTTCATCTTCCTCCTCCAATCCCTACCATCCCTCATTGCTGGAACATGACAATCGAGGGAATGTGGGCTTGAAACAGTTCCAAATTATAACCTTACGTGGAAGTTTCACTAGTCACCTTCCACAGATCCTTAAACTTATCACTCACTTTGATAGCTTCAGTTTTGCTGAACAGTTCTTCTCTAAATGTGAATGCACAAGTACAAAGAAGGACGTAACAAACATACCTAGACTTTGACCCCCACAGTACAGCAGAATACGTCGGGCTCTCTCCTTTGCATCAGCAGGGAAGTGCGGACTTTCAAGCAGTTCTGGATAAGTACAAAGAGCAACAACCTGAATTGGGTAAGAAATAAAATCCAATTAAGTATTTAAAAGATTTTTTTCTATTATCTTTTCTTCTGTCATCAATATTAACAAGCAGCCTTCTGCAGCCATAACTTTGAGATTTTCAAAATATGAACATTCATGGCGTTTTGTGAACAATTAGGAAATGCTCCGTATTTCTTATTTGTTGCAAACAAAAAGTCCTTTTCAAATGCATAATTGTTATAAAAGGAGCTCAAATCAAAAGGTCTTAAAGGCTTTTTAAGAAACAGGAGGTCGCTTTAATCCATCAGATCCCGGCTTGGAAAGTGTCAAATATGTATTTTTCTGACATTTTATACTTTCAATTGCTCACTCTACTTGTTACATTTGATTCTGAATGGAATGATTTATTGTCACTTCCATTTTACAGTGATTAGTACAGTAAAATACAGTGAAAAGCTTCAACTGTTGCCACAATTCAGCGCCATTTTGAATAGTTTAAGAATAAAAAGGTATAACTGAAAAAGAGAGTCCATCTTAGTTCTACAACTTTCGTCAGGAGTCCCGAGCCGGCTGATCACCTCCACTGCCTTATTGTCGCCTGCGCCGGACCCACCAACATAGGAGTTGCCACTCTTCAGGTGCCACTTCTTCACTGCTAGGCCCACCTCGCTGATGCCCGGTCCCGTGCTGAACCCACACTCATCCTGCTAACTGGAGCCCAAGCTCAGCTGCCACTGCCACCTTGTCAATAACCAGAAGTTCCTGGCTCTGGGCCTACTGCAACCAGGAGCCCCTGGCTCCACTTTTGCCTCAACGACGCCATGTGTTCCTGCTCGGAGTATACCATGCTGCTGCAGCTGCCACCTTATGAATGCCAGGAGTCCCTGGTTCTGCTGCCAGGCCAAGCCACTGCTTCCACCTCACAAAAAGAGTCCCGCTCCAGCTGCCTCCTCAGAGATATCGTCTACTCCACCCACGGCCAACATGAAGAAGGAGAAGAAAATGAAAGAAGAAGAAAAGGGTAAGAAAGTAGGAAGGAAGCTGCTGATCTGGAATGGATGGGCTCAGGAACCCGAATGAGCCTACCTCGCCGAGGCCGCCATCTTTCAGAGCTTCAGGCTCATTCAGCTGCCAAATTATGAGTGCTAAGCTGGGGTAGATCTGTTTTTCACTAATTTACCCCACCTAAGATGGTGTTCTCTGAAGCAATTCAACCAATCTGAAGCGTTAAAGTATAACTTGAAACATGTATTATTGATATTTTCATATGTATCCTCTATTTTGTTAAAAATTGTGTCTTTGGCTACCTAAAAGGAAATAGCAGCCAAAAGAAATTTGGAAAGATAGGGAAAGATTTGATTTGGCTTAATAGTAAACAAGTCAAAAGAGAGACAGCTGTCTAGCTTAAATTTTTAAATCAGACAAAAATTGTTTCAAAGTAATTTTCTGGTTACGCTATATGCGGTGAGCCTTTATACAATGTACTAGCCTTTAGTTGACATATATTATAATTTGGTTTAAAGCATATATGTCTGAATCTTTTGTGCATTAGGAGGGGTTCGGGAAAATCACAGCAGCTGTAGGCCAATCAGATTTTGGACCTAGTCTTCAAAACATTTCGGGCAGAGTCCATGTGTCCACCGCCTTGTGTGTGAACATCACCTCTAAAAGTCTGAGCTTGAAATTTAAGGTTATGCCCCCTTACTTTGTATAACCTACCCTGAGAAAATAGTTTCCCGTTATTTAGTCTGACAAATCCTTCATTAATCACAAATATTTCGTGAGATTACCGATTAACTATCTGTACTTGATCAAGAATGAATGACTAATCTACATCATAGCTCTCAATTGAGTAAGAACTGTAAATACTCAAGTCAGGAGCATCTGCAGAGAGAAACATGGTTAACATTTTGGGTCAATGATGACTCTGTATCAGAACTCCGATGTCTCACAACTTAGTCCTTTTATCATGTACTCCCTCCAAAACCAAAATATCCTCCTGAGTGGGGGAACCAGAATGTAATGCTTTACTTTAAATCCAGTCTAGCCAGAACTGTACACAACTATAACGAAACTTCCAATCCTTTGAAATAAAGCCTATGATTCCAGTAGCCTTTAAACAACTTTATATACTTGGTCACTAGCTTTTAACAGACTTCAGTATGTACACCCTTAAAACTTAGCTCCTCCACTATTCCCAGCTTCTTATCATTTATCAATTTTTCACTATGTAGCGGAAAGTTGAGCCCCAGGATAGGACAGATCCCTTGGGGTGCCAACAGTTACGTTTGGCCAATTAGAACACACTCATTTTCTCTCTCTGTTAATTCCCAACTTAAGCATGAAAAGGATCCCAAATGAACACATTTAATTTAAGCTCATTTGTTTTAGTTATGCTTAACTGATCATATCTCTTTAGTAGGATGATATACAGCCAATGTCTTCCTAGGCCTGTGATAAATAACATTAAGCAACTACCTGCTAAAGGACACTAGACTGATCCGACAGTAGTTTGTAAAATACCTTACAACTCTTTGGCAACAGGAGGAAGGACTTTCACGTATTTACTAACGTAAAAGAAGGGCATGTTTGTTCTAACAAATAATGAAGAATAATTTTACACATTGAAAAAGTACATCATGGCTCAACATCACTTTTTGAGAAACCTGATCAGATGTTTCACCAGGTACTGATGAGATAATTAGAACAAACTTTCAATTCTTGGAGAAAAAGGATTATCCAAGTGAAAAAAAAAAACTGAACAAGTCTCCCAACCCCACTCTGCACAAAGTTAACAACATCCTTTTTGCTCCTTTGGCTACCAGTGTCCAAGATTCCAACTTGGCTGATGAACGCTTACATGTTATTAGTGCATAATTAACTGTTAAAAAGATTATATTAAAATATTGTTTACAACCCAGAAATAAATTCCAAATACAAATTTTTAAAAAAATTTAGGTGGCTGGAGCTATCCAAATTGCATAGTTATGCTAGGAAACAGTATGTGAACAGAGTTGAACCACTCAGCTTTCCATCACCCCACAGATTTAAGAGAAGGCATTCCAAATTAATAATACAAATGAAACCCAAACACATTGTGGAAACAGGAAACTTTCAAACTAATTAGGACCTAGCAGAGATTAGCCTGGTGTCTTTTTTTGATAAAAACAGAATTAAAATGAAAACCTTTCAGAAAACACTAACACTTATTTTACTCTCACACATACACACACCTGTCTCAGAAATGTGATTGGCTGCTGTCCCATTGCATGAGCATCTCCGATGTTAGCTTTGATTACTTCCGTGAAAGGCTTCTGGGCACCCTATGTACAAAACACATAGAACAATCACAATCAAGTGCAAAGTAAATATTTGCTTTAGAACATTTTGGAAAAGGAGACAGTTAAGGTTATCAGTTACATGTAATTATTACAGCACAAGTATTATAAGACTCAGTTTACAATCCATCACAGAAACACAGAAGACAAGTGCAGGAGTAGGGTCAGAGGTGATTCACTAAGCTGTTACGTGGGACGAAAAATGTCAGCTAAGAGGAGAAACTGGATAGGCTCAGTTTACCCTGGAGCAGAGGAGGCTGAGGGGTGTGTGTCAGGTACACAAAATTATGACAGGCATAGACAGGGTAGATCGTGAGAATCTCTACCCCGTCGACAGAAATGTCTAAGACCGAAAGGGTGTAAGTTTAAGGTGAGGAGAGTGTGGTTTAGAGTGGATCTGAGGAAAATTTCTTTCACCCAGAGGGTTGTAGGTACATGGAACATACTGCACGAGAGGGTGGTGGAGGCAAGTACTCTTAGAACATTTAAGCAGCAGCTGGATGAGCACTTAAAATGCCAGGTCATAGTATGCTATGGATCAAATGTAGGCGTGAGATTAGTATAGTTTGGTGTTTGGTCAGCTAGCATAGACAGTGGGCTGAAGGGTCTATTTGTATGCTGTATGACTGAGTAGGCCCATCAAGCCTGTTCCACCACTCAACATGATCATGGCTGCTCCTCTGCATCAATGCTATACCCTTCTCAAACCACTTCTGACCTTCTGCATCTAGAAAATTATTTATTTCATAAATATATTCAGTGACTTTGCCTTCTGTGGTAGAGAATTCCATAGGTTCTAAGCTTTTAACGACCCTCCTAATACATTCAGCTCACTTTTGAAAAATTTGATTCTCTTATGTAAACCAATCTAGTAGGTCCCAAGTTCATCGCGCTCTCAATCAGTGGGTTCCCAGACAGTTTGAATAAAGTGTTGCCATTAATAATTGAGATCAAGATTAGAAAATAAATTATAATTCGCTGCATTTCATGCAAACTCAAAACAAAACACTATAAAGAACTGAACAGAAATATTTAAGAGAAGTCTTGCATCCATGGCTCATCCGTCACCTCATACCTTTCAATGGTATCATGTCCAAAAACCGTACCCTGAAATATCTTTCATATTTATTGTGCTTCAGAAGTACCCCAAAAAAGGAGGGCAAAAATATTAATCCAACCTTTCAAGAGTATTCAGAGTATCCTCAAATAGAATCCATACTTGTATTATGCCAAGGAGCTGCTGATAGATATGCCATCTTATGCCTCAAATTTGAGCTCATCCAAAGCTCAGCTGCCTGTGAACTAATCAGTACCAAGTCCCTGTTCTCACCAATCTAGATTAACTTCAGTCCACTTGTGTCTGAACTCTGAAATTCTCTGTCAAGCCCAAATTCCTGCATGGTCTTGACTCTCATCTCCAGAACTCCTCCAGCGCTACAAAAAGTTTAGAACTCTGCATGTTCCCAGTGTGGTATCTTGTGCATCCCACATTCCATTTGTCTCAACAATGGCAGCTATGCCACAAGCTCTGCAGTTTCCTTCTTAAACTGTTTTTTCCTTTTACCTCTCTTGTGCATTTACGACCCTTCTAATTATTTTACCAAGCTTTTAATGACCCTCTTAATACATTTGGCTCACTTTAAAAATCTGATTCTCTTATGTAAACCAATCCAGTCAGTCCCATTTCCAAGTTCTTTCCCTGTAGCCCTGCAAATTTATTTCTCTCAAGTACTAAATTTCTTCTTGAAATTATTGAATGCTTTGTGCTTGTAGAGGGAAGTGGTTACTACTCTTCCTCAAATCCCTCTATGTTTTTTCTGGAGTCATCAGCGAACTGGGAACAGCTTTTCTTTGACTAAACATGGCATAATCGTATACATTTGTATCAAAGCTGCCCTCAATCTCCTATGCTTTTAGTACTGTAAAAAATTCTCATTAGTATTATTCAACTGCAGGAAATATTAGAAAGTAAATTCTAGATTTTGGAGTATCCTTAAGACATCTAATATTGCACACAAATGGTGTTGTAAATCACCTGATCCAGTCCAATCAAAATTCAAGTGCCAAAGGAAGAACATTGGGATTTTTTAAAACATAAACACCGATTTTGTACTTATAACTCGAAAGGAGAACGTGGTGCTCATAATGCACCACAGATATCACTACAGAAATCTTGTGCTGTCCTGAGTAATATAAATAAGTGGAAAGCCTTTTCTAATGTAATTAGTCTTAACTGAGATTTCAGTGTGAAAAATATTTCCGAAAACTCAAGTCAAAATCAGCTATCCATAAACCACATCTGTAATCTGTCAGATTATTTTCAACATGTGTGTCAAATATGGGAGCCATGAGGTACTTTTTGGTGCTTTGGATTGTGTGTTACATTGTTACCAGGGGAACCAAGCAGGGTTCAAGATACTATTTATCAACAATTAAAAAAAAAAGCACAAACTACCAATCACAAAAAAAACCATGAACTCTGTTTAGAATGGCCACTTGTATCTCAGTTCATTTTGAAAATTCATTACTGAAAATGTAAATAATACCATTGATTTGGAAGTAGACGAAAGCAATGTACAAAGTCAAAGGTTTGGTTATATATTTTCATTTGACAATGTTGTCACAAATTGACATTCTTTTCAAAACACACAAAACATCTTACTTTGAAACAAGCTACTAATTTCTATCACTTATTCCAGGTGATAAACAAACAAAAAAAAAATCATTCATTGTCAATGACTTTGCTGAATGCAAAGCTGGGTTTAAAGATAATACATGATTTCTAAATTCTGAAAACAAGTGAAATTTCAGATCAGCATTTACAAAATCAATGATGCGACTAACAATCTTGAGTTTGATTTTAATTTTGGAAGATAGAGACATTCTTTTTGCATGAATTTGCATTAGTATAGTGTCTAACACAATAAAAATCTCAGTGTTCCAATGGAGAGTGACAGAGCCAAGCAGTAGAGAATTTAAGGGCAGGTGGAGGTTCGTCAAAGAGAATTTTTTTTTTGATTTGCAGAAGCAATCAGCAAGGCGGGAAAAAGTTCCTGGAAGGAATTGCACATCATGAGATAAGGACAATTGGAAGTTTCACCAGTGAGGAAAGTCAGGGATGGGGCTGCCTGAATCAGAATATCACAGTACGGCATTGACAAGTTACAGGTGATGAAGCAGGGAGTGAAGATATAGGGCAGCTGTGAAATTCAGTACAAAATGGTACAAAGAAGGTACCAGAGATGAAATTATGAGTACCCTGGAGGAATCTATGCAAGACCAAGCGCAGCTACTATTAGAAACATGCTACACAGTTAAATTGTGACAATAAGTAAACAAGGGGATGTTGATTATTTCCAACTCCCATACTGCACACCTACTCAAGCTCCCAGGTTTTGGGAAAGAAAGGAATAAAAGGAAACAAGAAATGGAAAGGGGATTAATGATACCTTCATTCAATGAAGGTGATACGTGTTTTGGGAGAGAGACAGACAGAGAGAAGCAAGTCCACACCAGCCCTCCGAAGAGCATCCCAACTAGTCCCAGCCCCCTTTCCCTATCCCTGTAACCCTGCATTTCCCATAGCTAATCCACCTAGCCTACATATCCCTGGATGCTGTGGGCAATTTAGCATGGTCAAACCAGCTAACAAAGAACAGAAAAAATTACAGCACAGGAACAGGCCCTTCGGCCCTCCAAGCCTGTGCCGATCCAAATCCTCTATCTAAACCTGTCACCTATTTTCCAAGGATCCGTATCCCTCTGCTCCCTGCCCATTCATGTATCTGTCTAGATACATCTTAAATGACGCTATCGTGCCCGCCTCTACCACCTCCGCTGGAAATGCATTCCAGGCACCCACCACCCTCTGCGTAAAGAGCTTTCCACACATATCTCCCTTAAACTTTTCCCCTCTC